ATATATATTACCCCCTTCTTCTAGGGCCGCAGCAGAGGAACAAAGAAGCAGTGTTTCTGGGGACAGCTAATCCATCCCTGGTGGCCTTCGTGCACTGACATTTGCCCGCAGATCCCTTGTCCCTGGGGATGCAGGCTGTGTGTGGAGCTTGTGTTTCCGCCCCAGAACACTTGTGGCTCTCAGTGGAGGGGCGGGGTCGGCAAACTCCAGCCCAGGGCCCTAATTCAGTGACTACTAATTTTTGTTAAAGAGTTGAAAAAATATCACAGCGGGGCGTGTTGGCTTCCCTCTAGTCTGGCACCTGGGAAGCTGAGGCAGGAGGACCAGCAGTCCGAGGCCAGCCCAGGCCACAGAGTACTCTTGCTGTCTGTGGAAGGTTCGCCTTGCAGTCCTGGCCTCAGGGTGACTCCCGCGCAGAGCCAGCCTGGGAACTCGGGCTGTCTCTTGTATCACAGGGCAGGATGGGCTGGGGTGCAGGTGAATTCTGTGGGCTCAGGGCGGACCTTTCTCCTCTTGTGCACATGCCTGTCACGCTGCTCTATGGGAAGACTGCCTCTTCTTCCAGCAGAAGACAAGCATTCCTTTCTTCCTCCTGTCTTCCCCCTTCCCCCTTCCCCCTTCCCGCTTTCTCTCTCTCTCTCTCTCTCTCTCTCTCTCTCTCTCTCTCTCTCTCTCTCTCTCTCTCTCTCTCTGTATTTGGTACAGGGTCTCACTATGCAGCTCAGACTCATAGCCATCCTCCTGTTTTCAGCCTCCTCAGTGCTGGGATTACAAGTGTACGCCATGCGCCTGGACTCTGTGGCCAGTTCAACATGCCTGGGAGCAGAGCCAGCACGGCATGTGGTGCCAGGGATTGAACCTCGGTCCCTGCACTTGCCTAAGCAGGTGCTTAGTCTGCTGAGCTATCGCATGCTCTTTCTCCTTTCTTTCTTCCTTCCTTCCTTCCTTCCTTCCTTCCTTCTTTCTTTCTTTCTTTCTTTCTTTCTTTCTTTCTCCCTCCTTCCTTCTTTCCTTCCTTCCTTCCCTCTCCCCCTCCTTCTCCTCCCTCCTGTTGGTCTCTGTCATCAGTGGGTCGTCTGTGTCCCCAGCCAGTCTGTGTCTTGAGCGAGGAGGAGGAGGAGCCCCATGTGTAGAGCAGTAGTTCCGCTGGCCTCGGGCTGTGGGTCCTACAGTGTCCTCTCAATCCTGTCTTTCTGCTGAGAACCATGTGCCTTCATCCTTGCTGCCGCGGGCTGCCATGTTAGGAAAATTAGTGTCATGTCTGGAGGTACAGGAGGGGCTTTGCCTCCAAGTCCTGTGGGCTGCAGCTCTGTGCCCAGGACCACGGGTCCTGGGGACCAGTGGAGCCAGTGGTGTGGCGGTCATCATAGAGTCAGTCACTGCAGGTGCAGGGGCGCAAGCAGAGCTGAGAATGTCCCCGCTCCGGGCACTGCAGCGCAGGGGAGACTCGTGCATGGCAGTGCGGCACACACACGTACCTGCCTCGCCAGTGTGGTGCCCAGGTCTGCTCAGCCAAGTGGTGCTCTGTGGCCATTCATCCCTCGTCCCTCCCTTGACGACATCCTATGGCCGTGGCCAGGGTCAGGCCTCTCCTATTTGTGCATTCCTTCTGTGGTGAAGAGCAGGGCTCAGGACACGTCTGTGTCCCGGAAGGGGTCTTCTTATACCACGTGAGGCCCCTCAATAGGTCTCAGACCCAAAGACGCAGGAGCCTCTGCCTTCTGCGAGGCGCCAGCCCTCCACAGCCCCAACGATACAGGAGAGGAAACATGCTTTAAAGACACTGCCCCCTTGGGCTGGGATCTGGCAGAACCAAGAATTTCTCTTTTGCCAACCTTTCCTAAGTTTCTTACACGATTGCCTTCTAGGTATCTTCTCAAAAGGTCATTACAGTGGTCCGTGCATGCCCATGATTATAGCAGTGCTGTTCATAGTAGTGGAATCTTGGAAGTGGCTTAAGTGACTGTTAACAGGTGCACAGAAACAGAAAATGTATTGACATGCAATGGAGTACTACTCTGCCATAAAGAAGGATAAGCTTGAGTCATTTGGAGGAATATGGATGCACCTTGAGACCATGATGTTAAGTGAAATAAACCAGACACACAAGCTTACGTATACTCCCAATAGCAACAAAGAACAGAGTAAAAGGTAGATAACGGGCTCTGGGGAGACAGCTTTCTCAGAGGGGAAGGAGATGGCGAGACAGAGAGAGAGGGCGGGAGGAGTAGAACAAGCTGCGCTAATGCGTGCACCAACTCCCTGTGAGGAATGTGATCTCTGTGTTCCACAAACACATGGTGAAAATAAAAAGTTTAAGAAAGAACAGAGGTGCGGTCTGGCCCTTGTCTTGCACATGGCCTCATCTCGGTGAGCACGGCACGCCTGTCCTGCGCTCCCAGCCTGGCTTGTCTCCCTGGGTGTGCCTGTGGGCGAGTGTGGAGCAGACCCGGGGTGGCCGGGCCCCCGGGCCAAGGCGCAGCTTGGGCACCCTTCTTTGCCAGGATCAGTCTCTTCCTTCCCTGCCTGCTTCCTGCTCCTTCCTGACGCCCTTTTCTTTGTCAGTCAGCAAACCCGTGTGGCTCCTTTCTGACAAGTTTGCTTTCTCTCCTCAGTCATGCGGAGGAATCCCTTCGGTGTGGACATCTGCTGTCGAAAGGGGTCTCGGAGTCCCCTGCAGGAGCTCTACAACCCGATCCAGGTAAGCCTCAGGGGCTTCCTGTCCTTTTGTGTCATGGGGGTATGGCAGGGCACTGAGAAACTGCAAAGTTGGCCTCTGGGGGACTTGACGCTCCCCAGCTCCAGCGGCCGAGCCTGGGTGCCGCATCCCAGTCTCCTCACCAGCGAACCGCTTGAGCATCCCTAGTGGGAAAGTCGGAAGCCCAAACTGCTCCTAAACCCAAACCTCTCTGATCACTGGCATTTCCACCCCACGTGGGAAACCCTGAACTAGTGGTCAGTGACAGCCCCAAGCAGACATACTCAGTTACGGCCAGTTCCGTGGGACGCGCCTGAGTCCTGACCCCCAGTACCTCACAGTGTCTGTGTGCATGCTCCAAGGTGTGAAAAATCCAAAATGCAAAACACTTTTGGCCCCAGCATTTGGGTAAGGAATATTCAACCAGCAACATTTCTGAAATTCTGGTGATGAGTCTTTCTTGGAATAAAGAAAGATCTGCGAGGAAGGAACAAAGTGAGAAGGGCTGGCTGCTGTGGCAACTGCGCGTGGGTTGTGGGTCCTGGTGTGGAGCATCAGTGGGGACATGAGTCAGTACCCGGTGTGGAGGGCCATTAACTGCAGGCTCGCGCCTGGGAGAGCGCTGCAGCTTGGCGGAGGCCCTGGGCCTTCCTCGGTGTGCAGTTCTGTCTCCTCACCCCGGACCTGGCCGGGGGGAGGTCAGTGCCTGGGCTCCAACGTGCTGAGCTTGGAGTGCTGGAAGCTGCGGCCCTCTTCTGCCCCAGCCTCTCGCCTGCCCCTTCAGGAACGGTGGGCTCAAAGTCTGGTTTTCTGATGGGTCACCTCCCGCCCTGTGGATGAGGCCAGATTGACCTGGGGATTGTAAACTTAGTATTGCCAGAGGCTGCACCTCTGCAGAGATTCTGAGCTCAGAGGCACCTCGGGAGCCCGTGTGCTCTGGCTGAGTTGCGCAGTCTCCCAGCCTGTCTATACTCATCTTTGCAGCCGTCTATACCCCTGCTGCGGACACTGACCGTCCTGAGGACTTCCCATAAGTCGTGTGAAACTCCTCAGCTGTTCCTGCAAACCCCGCTGACATCTTGCATTTATGGGTGATGTTGGGTGTCTCAGGCAGAGCTAGTTCTGCTGTGACCCCTGGTCTAGCTGCAAAGTGCTGCTCCCTGCCGTCTCCCCAGCACCGTGCAGGGCCCATCCCGTTGTGACACTTCAAACCCTGTGATTGAAAGAGCAGAGGTCCTGTCATGCCATGACCAGTTGCAGGACCTGGAATACCAAGTCTTTGCTGGGGTCAGTTTTCCCAGCCAGTGACCTCGCGGGGGTGCTGGGAACATCAAATCAGAGTGCTGAGTCAGGGGTTCTGTGAGATGTCGCTGTTAGGGTCACAAAGGTGGCTTCTACACTGGAAACCTCAACCTCAGAGTCAGACCTGCGTTCAGAGCCTGGTGCCACCGTTTCCTCCCATGTGACCTCGGGCCAGCTCCCTGCCCCCTCTGGCCGACAGGATTCTGTGGCCATCGTGCGTGCTGTGGTCCAGGGCTCAGCCACTGTCGTTGTCACACAGCTCAGTGCAGGCTGCAGGCACGGAAGGGAGCCGAGGTCAGCTGTCCTTGCCAGTATTTTCTGGTACCCAGCCTGGTGTCTGCCAAGGTCAGCCCCACCTGCTGTCCTTGAGAGTCAGTTTGGAGAGTGGCTATCCAGAGGAGGTGACCCATGAGTCTCTGGGTGAAGGGCTCACATAGTGCTGGCCTAGAGATTGGGAGGGGAAGGACAGCAATGGGGGTCACCTGGGAGGGCGTAGGTGGGCATTGTCATCATCACTGTCCCTCTCCAAGGACACCTGGGCACACTACTCAGCCCCTTCTGCTGGCACTGAGGAAGTAACCCGCAGGACAACCACCATTTCCTGGGTTGTCTCAGGAAGGCTCTTGGAGGGCTGGCTTCCCTTACAACTGCAGTTCTAGTCCAGTCCCACTCTCTGGCCCTGCGTGGCCTTCTCCGGAGGAGCTATCTTCAGGACCTGGGAGCTGTGTGGCTGGGAGCCACGTGGCCAGGAGCCGAGTGGACAGGAGCGAGCTAGTTTTGCATCCCTGAGAACTAATGGACAGTTTGGTGCCCTGAATTTTCCTGTCAGGCCTTCCAAGCTGCTGGGCCCAGGAAGGCCCTGTCACAGGCAGGTGACAGACACGCTGTCTGATCAATGGGTACCAGACCATTCCCAGCAACGGCGTTCTCCTTTTTCTCTGTGTCTGGTTATTTGGGTTTGATATGGGCTGGTGCAAAGAGGAGCCACTTATGAGATGAGGCACCAGTGTCAGCCGGCAAGTGCCATCGAAGTCACTTCCCATGCAGCATGCTCCTGCGTCTCTGCCTGGCCCACCTGGCTCTCTCTTCAGCCCTTGCTCCAGTGGCTCCACCCTGTTCAGAAAATTCCAGCGCGGCCCTTGGTTGGCACACAGGTTCACCCGCGACTGCTCCTGAAGTCCTCTCCAAGAACCACCCCTCCCCCTCAGAAGAAACAAAGCAAACCTGGATTTTTCACCAGACCGAGGCTTAAACCTCCCTTGGGAAGATTGCTATCATCTGATTTTAGTGTCTAGAATCCTATTTTCGTGTCCTGCAAACCTCTAACCATTAAGACAATTGGTTAAAAAACAAACAGCTTTGTAGTTGGTATTCTTAGCAGCACTGCACTGGGATGTCTTATAATTTTCCTGGTTCTCAGCTGTCTCCCTGGCCCCAAAATAAGATGTAATTGTGGATCAGATCAGCTGGCGCAAAGTCACCGCAAGTTCAGGAGCTGCCAGCTGTGTGTTTGTGGGCCAGGCGCAGCTGCGGGCATGGGCTGGGTTCAGATGCATAGGGCAGAGCTCTGCCGCTGGGCATGCATGGGGCATAGCGGGCCCTAAGCGCTGTGCCCACCCCGTCCTCCCTCGGGCGTCGTGCAGCCAGGCCCCTGTGGCTCTGCCCTGCCCGCCTGGTTCTTTCTTTAGCACTTGCTCTTTGATTATACACACTGACCGTGGGTTTCTAAGCAACACATCTGGGGTTGCCTGGGCGCAGCAGGTCCAGCCCCTGCAAGCTGTCTGGGGGGTTGGGGCGGGAATCGTCAGAGTGCAGGAAAAGGCCCCAGGCCACACTGAGATCTCCTCTGTTTGCTGAGGGGAGCTGGAGGAGGGAGCGCTCAGGGAATGGGAGGAAGGCCAGAGGCGAGGGAGAGAGGAAGGGGCAAGTGTCCGCTCGCTCGCTGGCATCTGCTGCTCGCCTCTGACCTTCCCAGGTGTTTTTCCAACGCACCTCAAGTCTTTTATCTGTGGCGCCGTCCAGCTGGCTGGGCCTTCTGTGTCCCACAGAGCTGCGGCCGCAGGCCTCGGTGAATCTTCATGCTGCGAGCTCACCGGGACCCCCGCTGCCTAGAGGACGGAGGCTCGGCAATGCCCCAGCGGGTGGCAGAGCCAGGCTGGCCGGGCTGCAGGAGGGTGCCCGCCTAGTGCTGCCGCTCTGCAGGGCAGCGAAGATTTCCTGGACAAACTCCTGCCTAGTGAGTCAGGCCGAGGCCTGGGCTTCCAGGGCAGGCGGGGAGCCCGCGGCCAGGCAAGGGCTGACACAGTCACATGTTCATCTGTTGCTTGCTGAACCTGATCTTTGGCCCAGGCCAGGGGAGGCCTCTGTCTCTTGGCTGGAGAGACAACGCCAAGAACTCCACTGGGGCTGCCACACCCTGGGGACACTTGGGCAGCCGAAGGTGTGACTCAGTGGAAAGTATTAGGTCACTGAAGGCTTGCGATAGACCACGGGTGGAGAGCTTTTCATCAGTGCCCTCCACACTTGGCTGCTTCGGTAGACTTTAGCTGAAGAAACAGGGAAAGGCACTGGAAGAGAGGCGCCTGGGCAGCGCGGCGGAATGCTGGGTGGAAGCTTTGTGCAGGTGGGGGCACGTCCCCTGTGAGTAGGAACCTGCCAGAGCGGAGGAGGAGGAAGAGGCCCTGGGTCTGGAGCTCTCACGACGCATCGGGAAGTACACAGCAGAACAGTACTACTGCAGGAGGAGCAGCAGGAACAGGGTCAACAGCCGAGAGAGCCATGGCCCAGTCAGAAAACTGAGGGCTTTGTGGCTGGCTGGCGTGGCCCTGGGCACTGTTTGGAGATGGGCCAGGATGGCAGGTGGGCAGTAGGTGGATGGGGTCTTCACCCTTGCAGAGGTTTGGTGCCAGGATTGGTGGCCACCAGGGGCTCAGAGGAGGCAGCGTAGGACTTGCTAGGCAGCTCAGCCTCCGACTTGGCGCCTCTTTACCATCAGCTTCTCGGAGGCTGTCTTTCCTCGCCCTCCGCCCCCGTGCTGCCTCTTGCAAGATGGGAGCATGCGGTTTGGTCAGTGGCTCTCAGCCCTGTGCATGTGCTAGGTGCCCCCAGGGCAGTTTAAAGTGGACCCTGCTGTGTTGATGGAGGCCGGGTCCGTGTGGATGTCTCCCCTAGCGCACCGCTGGTGTCCAGGGCAGCTCGCTAGAAGAGCTGGCGTTGCATTGTCACAGCCCAGTGCCCATTACTTGAGAAGCAGCGCCAGGCGACATGCCCAAGGCCACCCGTCTCCCCGTGACGTGTGTTGCTCACTCCCACGTGGCCCCACTGGGACTTGGGATTGCTTCCTCTCGTCTGCTCAGAAGGTCTTGCAGCAGCATCATGCACAGAGCTTCAGCACCGAGTCCCGGAAAGGGACCCTCGGGCCACCCCGATCCTGGGAGAAGCAGAAGCCAGACGTGTTCAGCCGGGCATCAGACTGGTTTCTGAAGGTTCCATGGTGGGCACCCAGCCACGCTGGAAGAGGAATGGGTCCCACCTCTCCCAGGCAGCCTCCAGGGCTGGGGCGGGGCCAAGAGCTGCCGCTGCTCAGCCCCAGCCCTGGGCGATTAATCCCTTCATTACCAACCACCTGGTAAATGACGAGTCCATCTAATTATCTTGCGTTGACCCAACAGCTGTCTACCAGCCAAAGCGGGCCTAATTGA